AGGCTCATGATTTAGTGATGAAAATTAAAAGTGATTTTAAATGACTTACCTGCTAGCTGTTTTCACAGAACAATTTTTCTTGTGTCCTCTTTCAGCTCGGTTATCTCTCAGAAGCTGATGCTATACAAAGTGTTAAGACAAAGTTGTAGAAACAAAAACATTTTCATTATATTATTTTGCAAAGAGAAAATATCCTTTTTTATTCAAAGAGGCAATAATTTGTTCATTTGTATCACTTTATTTCTACTGGTTTCTCTTAAAGACAATTACCTTTGCTAGAGATGCCAGATTCACTGTAGCAAAAAAGTGAGAGCAGCAATCTAGTTATTTCCTTGACAGCTAAACTGCTCTCACAGTTGGTTAACACATAGCCTGGAGGTGGAAGTCTAGGACTCAGTTCTGTTCCTGGTTCTCTGGAGTAGCCTTGGCTAAAGTAATGTAATCTTTCTTGTCAACGGCCTCTACAATTGCATTCAGCTGAGAAGTTTTGGGGGTTATTTCCCCTAAGTTGATATGAAAGAGCTAATATTATTTTCTTGATACCTACTGGCATACTATGGTAAGTAAACATACTCAGATCATTCTTGTTTAAATAAATTATTGGGTTGGAAATATGTAAAATATATTATATAGAAAAACTATATTTGATTGCCTCTTCAAAAAGCCTTACCATTTACTTCCCTTCACACTTACTTTACCCTAACCGGGGGAAAAAATTAAAAAGATAGTACTCTCTACAATTTGTTAACTCAAATTGTAGCATATATTATTTATGCAGACACATGATTATAGAGAAGACTGAACTAAAAAAATTATATGACATATTAGAAATTAGCCATTACATACATGAAGTCTTAAAAAAGTAATAATGTGAGATAGATCTGGATTCTAATCCTAGCTGCCCCAGTAGCTTATAAGTCATTACTTTTAATAGCAATTTTACCACTTACAAGATGTATAACCATGGGCAAAGTGCTTAACCTTTCAAAGCCCTAGTTTCCAAATGGAAAATAGAGATAAACATAACATCTACCTTCAGGCTGTTGTGATTATTAAATAAGATAAACCATGTAAAATGCTAAGTGCTATGAGACCAGAACATAAAAAATGCTGAGAGTATGACTTAAATGCAACAATTATGATGACTATGACTATAATTAATAAGCCTGGTTTTTAGTGGGTATTGATTGAACAGTATCAGTAACTTTTACTGTGTTGAACTGTTAATAAATCATTTGGAATTGTCAGTTTATTTGGCCATTTTTAAGATACACTAGACTTTAATTACTTCACCAAGAATATGGTTCGTTCTTTCTTTCAGGAATGTCCTGACTAACTAAATGTGCCCTAAATTTCTCTAAAATATACTTCTTTCCATTCCTGCTGCCATCATTTTCTCACCTGTAACAGCCTCCCAAATAGCCTCCTACATGTAACCTTCCTCTCACCTAATCCATTCTTCACACTGCCGCCAATGTAATTAATCTGACTTTATTACTCTCTTCACATAAAACTCAAAAGCTTTCATTATCCCTCATAATTTGATTATATCTCTAAACTTTTCTGCCTATACCTGACCTAACCTCTTTATTTCTCTCTCTCTTCCCATTTCTCTCTCCCCCTTTCTCTCTCTCTCTCTCTCTTTCTCTCTCTCTCTCTTTCAACCCAAGGGTGCTTAACCACTGAGCCACATCCTCAGCTTTTCTTTTTTTTAAAACTTTTATTTAGAAACAGGATCTCGCTAAATTTCTTAGGACCTCACTAAGTTGTTGAGGCTGGCTTTGAACTTGTGATCCTCTGGCTTTACCCTCCCTCCTGAGCTGCTGGGATTATAGCTGGGACATTTACCATGCGCGTGCTCATCTTGCTCATCTCTGGTCCTTTGCCTCAGTTATTCAATTTGCCTGTATCTCCATGGTTTGGCACTATATCCAGAACATCTTTAGTGCTCAATAAATATTTGTTGAATGAATGCATGAATAAAAGAGGTAATGAAATAGGGAATGAGATTGAGTATTTGATATGTAGCTGAAGCCATACCTCATTATTACTATGTATAGAAACAGCAACCATTTATCTTAAGTCCATTAATCTGAAAGTGTTTCAATTTAGAAACACTTCGTACCATGAATACTTAAATTGTTTCTGAAAATATAATTGATTAATTACTTTGGCATTTCTAAGTCTAGTGCCTTTAAAATATATATAGATATATATACAAACCAACATTTGTGACACAGATAGTTAGAAGTTGATGAAATCTCTACTTCTGTTTTAAATTAATGGTAATTAATTAACTCTTTTGATTTTTTAGATAAAAAATACTTGAACACTTTCTCCAAGGTTTGTGCTACAACAATTCACAGAACTGAAAATCCCATATACAATGTTCTAGAATAAAATTAAATAATTAAGTTTTGAAAAGGGCAATCCAAATAAACATTTCAATATACCTCATAAGACCAACACATCTTCTAAGAATGTGTTTTCATCCTAAAAATTTTGATAGACTTTTATTTAAAAAGAGATAAATATTGGAATTACTTCATGTAATATGTCTACATAAAAAAGTCATCACAGAATTATCTCACTTTAGGAATAAAATTATCAATCTGGGTGTATATTTGCATCTTTAAAATGAATTTCTGATAAAAATACAGACTCAGATCTCTGAGTTATGAATTTATCATGTTAATACATGAATGTAGGTCTTTTAAAGGGCAATCATGGAAAAATTAATCTAGGGTGCTACCAGAACAGAGAACATGTTTGTATTTGAAAGATTCCCAAAATGGTGCTAAAAAAATGAAATCAGGCATGAATTCACAATAAAAGAAACAAGAATCCTTCATCCTTGCTCTAAGAAGCTCATCAGATTTTGACAAATTTTTCATTATTCTTATCGGTAAGTTTTATGTTTCCTTGGACTCCTATCAGTGTCACAAGTGAGGTCATTTTCAGGGTTCTGACTCAATAATGTCATCTCTGATTAAAAACAGAACTTCTGAATATGGTGCGAAGTGCTTCTTACCTTCCAACTTTCAGATTGCTGGACTTAGGCCAAACGGAGATACAATTCCCTTATTAGTGACCTGCAGGCGTATATTAAAAAAATGACTCATATAAGAATTACATTAGAATCCATAAATGCAAACCTAGGCACACAATTTAAAAAAAATTATTGAATTAAATCAGGAAAAGTATTCTTTGTGGGTAATGGTTTTTATTGTTACAGAATAGGAATTAAAAATTTCTATGGCTATTCATGATATTTGTACAAAATCATTAAAAGTCTCAAATCCCTGATGCAAGAGAAAGAAGCAAATGGTGGAATTCTTATTCCACAGAATTCCCTGGCTTTGCTGCCAGACATGGACAAGGCATTCAAGCTCAGGAGCATCTGTATTGGCAGCCCTCCTTCCTGTAATTCCTCAAAAATCTGCAAAATAATTTCAAGTCTCTTCACAATTGGCCTTTCATTGTCCTCAACATTAAAAGAACTAAATAATATCTAACCTATGATCTATGACTCATTAAGGTACTTGCAAACTCAGTCAAAATGTCAAACCATAAGATGTTCAAGGAGGCAAAGCCTTAGAATTTAAAGACACACAGACAATACACTCATGTGTATGCACTTGTGCTTCATAAGGTGCCCTCTTCCTCTGTCCTTCCCCTCCTCAACCAAATTGTCATTTCTCTTTTGTAGTCTTTATAGTGCCCTCTCTATGGTTTTCACAAACATTTACTAACATGCTATAATTGCTACTTTCTTGCCCACACTGTACCACATTAGGGGAAAAGATATGCTGTTTTCCATCAACATACTTTTTTTTTTGTAAAATTATCAAAGTTAGGAGGTCTTGGAATAATATCTTTTTGTAAAATTAGAGAGTATCTGATAGATAGTGACAGGTGAGTTATTTATTAAATGAAGGTATGATCACTCTGTAGAATGTAAATGGAAATGAGATTAAACACTAAAGCAAGCAGAGGAAAGCAGTGAGAGGTGACTTTTAAGGGAAATGGGGTTAATATAATCATTACTCTGTGTTGACAAGTTTTTATATGAAAAGTTAAAGGTGATCATGAATGATAAAGATGATATTCATCTCTAAGTTGATAAGCTGGTATATGAAAAGTAAAAAGTGATAATGAGTGATAAAGTTAATATTCATTCAACAATACATTGAAGAACTTCATAATTCTTCATGGTTTTGTACTTCATCCCTTGACTTATGTTTGGCAATATTTTACTGTGCTACAGAATTTAGGTCTAATTGAACTAAAAAATTATTATTCCCCAAAATGTAAAACAGGGTGTATTTCTCTACATATACACATATACGTGCAGTTGATATCCACTACTCCTAGATTCCATATTTGTGAATTTGTCTACTTATTAAAATTTATTTGTGACAGCAAAATCAATACCTTTGCAGCCATTTGTAGTCCTGCACAAAGTTGTAAAAACTTTGAGCTGTTGGAAATTCATGTTTCTAGCTATCACTTTGTCTTCTTGTTTCAATTCCCATAGTATAAACAAGAGATTTTTTATGATCTGTTTCTTGAACTTTTGTGTTTTTTTTCTTTTTGAAGATATCCTCATTTTAAATGGCTATTAAGTGTGGTGCTGAAGTTCTGTTTAGAACACTAAAATGGGCCTTACAAAGAAAAGCTATGTGCACTACATAAGTCTTGCATTAGGCATGTGTCATAGTGTAGCTGGCCATGAGTTCAATTTCAATGAATCAATAATCTACATAATAAATCAGGTATCCTGAAGCAGAAATACATGTAAAACAAGGTTATGTATTGACTAGTTGATGAAGATCTTGTAGCCACAGGTTTGAAGGAACCTAAGAGCACTGTTCTAGGATTCAAAGATGTTGTATTTTGAGTGTATATATACTAATTAATAACCTATGTAGTCAAGATAAAAATGTGAAACATGCTAACATTCAAGCAGGCCTGATTTAACACTTATTCAAATGGATTAGAAAACAGAAATGTTAAGAAAAAATCAGTCATTTTTATTCCTTATAAATTATTAACTATTAGCTGTTATTTTTGTTTTGGCACTAGAGATTAACCTAGTGCCTCACATGTGCTAGGCAGTTGCTCTTACCAATGAGCAGTCCTGGCTATTAATTGATTTTTATCTGCAGAATAAAGTATGATAGGAAGCCAAAGTTTAGATTACAAAGTAATCTAGAACATAAATTTATACTACCATATCAGTATTTCTCAAGATCTAAGAGACAGAAAATGAGCTTAAAGAAATTATATTTTGGGATAAAATATATCCTGATGCAACTTAATATCGGTACTAGAAGGAGAAACTTATTGTAAGCATTGCGTGTAGAGGGATACCCCCATGAAAGCAGGAAGTCTACTTTTTATATTATGAATAATATAAAAGATGATTTATATTATGAATATTATATTATGAATAATATAAAAGATGATCAGAGATGTGATTGTGGTTTCCAAATTAATAGTAGTAAATATTCTACATTAATGTGAGAAGTATCTCTAAAGGGGAAAATAACTTATAGCAAAAGGCAAATAACAAAATTATTACAACTGACTTTGAATTTATAAGATATTGTTCTTCTAACAGTCTGTGTTACGAAATAGAGCTTATATTATAATTAACTATGTGGTACCTCTTATCAATCACGGGCATGATGATTATTATATTCAAGTTTGAGCCTGTTACACCATTTAAAACATCAAACATTACCAATAGAATAATGTTTTTGAAACTATCAAGCACGATACTTTACCAATCTCCCATCCTATCCTTCAGAAAAAACAACCTCATTTGTTTTCTATCATTCCCAGGTATTTTAAAAATGTGTTTTCTTATGGATTGACCAATGAAAAAATAGTTTTCATGATTATGATGAAAAAACGTCTTATAAGGACTCCAACCCACAAATGTAAATGCTTTAAAACTCATTACAAATTTAAGTCCTAAATTAGCTTAGCATGCTTTAGAGAGAGAAATAATACATTCAAGAGACAAAAAAAGTAGACTTATTTTCTTTACAAAGACAACTGAAATGAATGTCAAGTTCTTGCTAAGTCAACTAATCATTGCAGTGTCACATACACCAATAAGAGATAAAAAGAAATTCATCTACAGATATAATGTAAACTTGTAAGAAATTATTGGCACCTTCTAAACTTCAATAAAAATATTCTCTTGCTGGCTGATCTTAAGTTCAATACAAATTAAATTTTTAAGCATGTATACTGTTTGGACACCTTGATTTTGTGAAAACCATTTAAGTAGCGAAGTTGTACAAGTTAGTGAATTCCAGGGCCTTTCCATGGAGGTCATCTGTGTGACTTAGGAAGGTGGCAATAAGGGAAAACGGCTGCTTACTGAGGATCGCCCATTTGGTCAGTGTATTAAGCCCTGGCACAATTAACTCCTTTTAAAATAAGCTAGGAATTTATATCCTTTCTCATGAAGCTGAATCTACAACCCTGAAAGGAGATAGATAAATATTTGAAATAGACTAACTTCCTTTTGGATTAGAACATTCCTTACCTGGCCATGTTCTGTCCTAGCCCCAGGGTTAAACCAATGGCTGCAGAGGAAAGAGAAGAGGAGTTAGCTGGGCCTAACTGAAGGCTCATGATCTCACATGATCAACCTGCAGGTGCTTTAAGAAATTTATTTACTGCCAGCAATGGAGCCTTAAATATGCTTTATTTTAATGGATATTTCATGTAATTCTAGACTTACACCAATTTTGACAGAAACGTAAGAGTGCTTGCTCATAACCCAGTAATTTTCAATTTAATAAGCAAACTGAGTTAGAATTACATTTCCATTTAATTACGTTAACATAAACTGCTGGAACTGTATTCATTTTATGAATCAATTCTGGTTATAAAATCTATAAATGCTATCATTTACCACAACTTAATTATAGCATCATTACAACAAATCGTGACCTTTTGATTATAAGAATTATATAAAAAAGTTAAAAACACAAGAATATTATATTCTGTAGTTCTGCCCCCAGGGACTACACAAAAAAAACCCTTGATGGGAATTATGGCCCATCAGCTGAAAGCACCTCGGACACTCATTTCTTTCACAGTTACAATTAGAACTCTGGCAGAGAACAAGTTTAACAATTTAGAAACACAGAAGTTACTGCACAGTTGAAGCCTTCCTTTCTCCCATGGCCCAACCTAACCCATTTACATCAGTTGCCTCTGGGGCTTTCAATATCAGGCTATACAATTTCAATGGGAATTGTTATTAGTTATGTGCCCAGTTCTATGGCAGTATTCTACAAAAAAACTAATTTTAAACATCAAGAACTAGGAAATTGAGAGATACTTTGGCATGTTAACCACTTAAAAACCTATTATTATAGGCAAGGATACTAGTATTACTATTGATGCTATTTATGATTTCAAGAACAGAAATACCAAGTATCTTTTTTTGTTAAGTGCTCTTTAGACACATGTTATGTCTTATTTCCTATCCTCATAAAAATCTTAGAAGGTTGTTCTCATGCTCCAGATACAGAGCCGGAGGTCTGGAGGTTGTGCTACTTGCTCAAGGTGTGCTTTCACCCTACCAATTTGCAGAAGGGCAAGGGGCCTACAATGCAATGGCATCTTTCCTGGTACTCTATATTCTCTATCCTCTGTGGTACTAAAACTGAGAACAAACAGCCTCTACAATAATAGGATTTGTCTATGCTCTTAATGTAACATTCTCAAGCTCATAGAAAGTGATGTTCCTTGGAGGGACAGATTCTACCACTGACATGGGAATTGACAATTACTGGTATTAGTAAATGACATCTGGGTTGATTATTAATTGGAAACAAATTAATCAATGCATAAGATATTTCCCTTCTGCTGGAGAGTGTGCACACCTTTTGCTTTAAAGAAAAAAAATTTGAAACTCAATTCATATATTAGTTAAAAAAAACACAAAAAGATTAAAATAGCAGTCACTTGTCACATCTATCCTGACTCCAAAGCTCTGTCCAGAAAAAAAAAAAAAAAAAACATTGTCAACTCTTTCAGTCTTTTCCTGTTGTAAAATATAAAGCTACAGTTTGAACGAATATATGTATCCTGACACTGCTTAATTAATTGGTTTTTAGATGTCATGGTTTGATTTCCTTTGTCATAAATTTAGTTCTTTTTTAACTCCCAACTTTCTATTTTGAAGTATAATACTGCTTTGATTAATCAATTTATGATGATGTGAATTTTTTTTGCCACTGTTTCCCTTGTGTTTCTCCTGAAGTTTATATTTGCCTCATTTTTCTTCCTTTGGTATTTTTTCCCCATGTAACCCTCAGCCTTCTTTTATTAGAAGTGTCACATCTTTATCAATGTTAGTTTTCAAATATGAAAAAAATCTTTGGTATGCATCTATTCTTTACCTTCCTTCCTGCTTCACTCCCAGAAGTTTCCTTCTTAGTATCTCTGCCTACTTATTCTCATTGTTCTCTCGCTCCAGATCTGTGGAACTTCCTTTGTCATTTCTGTCCTTTGCTGGACCTACTTTTCTGTATTCAGTTTCTTAGTTTATTTCCACTGTCTACTGCAGTGGTCATTTTCCATTGTTGGATGTGTGGTATACAAATATTTTTCTTAGAGTCTGTAGCTTCTTTTAAAAGACCCCCCTCTCCCAAAGAACAGTTTTGAATTTTATTGAAAAGGCTACGCTTTTTCATCTTGGAAAAAAATCCATTAGCCATACTTGTGTGGGTCTACTGCTGGGCTCTCTATTCTGTTCTATTGAATTATGTGTCTATCCCCCTACTAATATTACTTGGTCTTGAATACTATAGCTATATTATAGCCTTACTGTAGACTTGAAATCTAGTAGCATGATTTCTATCACTTTATTCTCTTTTAAAAGTTTGTTTTAGCTATTCTAATTCCTTTCTATATAAATTTTAAAATAATTTTGTCTTCACCTCTGAAAAACACACAACACACAATTTGCTGGGATTGTGACAGGAACTGCATTAAACCTGAATATCATTTTAGGATAAACTGAAATCTTTGCTATATTGAATTTTCTAATCCACGAGCATGGAAAGTCTTTTCATATATTAAAGGAATCTTTGATTCCTTTCACCCCTTTATCTGCCCTTTTATCTTTCATTTCTTTCACTAAATTTTCCCCAAAATTTAGGAAGAAAATTTTAAAATATTAAAAAAATTGAATGAATGTTAGAACCAAAAACTCATATCAACTATCTAGATTTTACTATTAACATTTTGGTATACTTGGTTTTTAAGAGGTTATTAATCTATTTGAATGATGTAATTTGATGAGCAGGTAGTTTTCCTGGTTATTTTGGTCTCTCCTTATACTGAAGGTTTTTCTCAAATACCTGTAGATCAAAAATTATCCATTCAATATTTTAAAAGTACTACAAAACTGACCAGAAAAGCAATGATTAAGTTTATCTACAGGACAATCTCCCAAGTTTCTTCTGTGAGGAAACCTCCAAAGCTTATTATCTTTTTCTTCTTGGATTGGTAAATTTCTCAAGAGAGAAATATTTACTTTCTTGATTTAGTTTGATGTCCCACCTACTTTTGTTTTTCTTTTTTCTAGGGCACATGAGGGGCAAATTAACATCTCCTTCAGCAGACCTATACGTTTACATTCCTTCAGTCTGCTGAGTTCATTAAACCCTCCAACTGCTTTCTAGTTCTAGAAATTGGGAAAAACCTCTTGTCAGCAGAACCATTCGTCCTTCTTTGTCATTGTGTGCTTATACTTTTCTCTTTCTATCTAGTGGGACATGAGTAGGAAGACTGAAAATAATGTTCATAAAGGCAAAAAAAAAAAAAACCCAACAAACAAACAAACAAAACCTAAGAGCAGTGAATGATATCACTGAAGCCATGAAGGGAAAAATTAAGAAAGGAGTAGTCATTGGTGTTAAACATAGAAAAATCAAATCTGACAGCAACTGACAAAATTGGAGGAATCACTGGTAACATTTTCCAGAGAAGTTCCAGGAGCCGTAGTGGGAAGAAATTAGGATTACAATTCCATAGTTGAAGTGAATGAAGGGAGACATGGGGAAGTAGGCTGTAATCCACGCTTTCTAGAAATCAAGCTTTCAAGGCAAGTGAGAGGAGAGAGACAGACAACAGGATTGAGGGAAACTGAAGAAGAGATTTAACAAGGGTAGTGAACATAAGGGAAGAAAAAAAGCTGGAAGAATATTAGGTTATAATAAGAAAATGATATAATCAATTTAAAATTTCATTGCTAGAGTAGTTCTGGGTCATGGTTATATTCAAGAGTAGCCAGAGGAGTAACTGAATGGCAAGCAGATGAACACTGGAGGCAAAAAAGAAAATAAACTGCTGAGTGCCAGCATATAATGATCCATCCAAGCCTCACCACAGGGCCATAGGAGTAAGTTCCCAATATTTACTGAGCCCTCACTGAAGGCCACACTGTTCATATTTAATCTGTAAACTAACCCCAGGACAGACACCATCCCCATTTGCAAATAATACATTAGATTCAAAGAGATTAAGCGATTTGCCAAAGATTTCATAACTGAGTAGCAGAGCTGGTTCAAATTTCGATTTGAAAGCCCATGTACCTTCCAAACATTATATATGCTGTCAACAACTAGGATATTTACAAATTGATGAAGATTAAATCAGGTGTCAAAACTCTCCAAGGATGAGGGGAAATGAAGATAGGTAAGTGGTAGCATGAATTTCACACAAGGAAGAAATCTTGCTTAGGAGTAAAAAAGGAATGTCTAGATGGGGTAATGATGTGGTAGAAAAAAATTATGGCCTCTGTATTCACCACTATGGAAATGTGAGAAAGCTGGAGGTTACTTCTTATGAGCCAGCCACCTGACTAATTTATCCTGGCAGATTAAGATGCTTCTTCTTGTATGCTCTCAACATCTTTATACATATCCCCATTAAAGCAGTCATATACTGTTGATGTTTTTTTGTCCTGATAAGAAATTAAATTTGTCCTTGAGAAAGGGAGAATGATAAGATTAACAGGCATAGTTGTAGTAGATATAGAAACTGTGATAGAAGTGGTAGAAGTAGTAATAGAAGTAGAGTAAAAGCACTACCACCACCAGTGAATGTTTGACATGTGCTGGGTACCATGACACATAATAAAGAAAAGTCCTGTTGCTATTCAAGGTCACAAAGCTAGCAAGGATTGGAATCCAGGGTGTCTGACTCCACACTTCTTGTTCTTAATGACACTTTTCTATCACCACCTTCAATTTATAGCATGTTTTCTTGGAGGTTAAAGTTCATTTTTTTCTTTTTTCTTTTGGTGTTCCCAGAATCTAGCATAGTACTGGGAAAATAATTGACTTATTAGCTTTTTAGGAAAAAAGTAAGTAAATACACAGTTAGTAGTGTCCTTATAAGTGAAAGTCAAGTTTATATAAAGATAGTTTATATAAAGATAAAATGCCCTGAAAAAGAATGGAGTTGTAAGGATGTTTATTTATATTTGATTATACTGGAATCAAGATTGCAGAAGATGTTCACAGGGAGACTAGTAGTGAAAGAAATATCTGGGAGGAGAAAG